CTTTAGTGTTGAACACAAGGTTCTGCCTTTAAAATGCCGTTTGTCTTAAATTAGTCCTGTGAGGACAGATCACAGGAAGGAAATGGGAGGCTCTTCACTTTTGTTGATGTTTTTGCTTTTTATTTGGTCCAAATGCCCATTGGATCAGCAGAGACAACGGGTGTTTCTGAATCATGAGAAAGCAAATAAGCAAAGCTGCTGTGGTTTGCCTCTGCTGGCTGACCGCAAGGCAAGAATGTGTTTGTGTGAAAAACGCTTGGTGGAGCCTTCTGCTGGTTGAGGCACTGGGCTGGGGATCACAGGGCAGTTCTTGTCCTTAAAACCCTCAGGTCAAAAAAGTTTTTTTAAAAAAAAAGCCAAAACCCCTCAGGTCGAATTGAGGACGGAGAGGAGGAGTGCTGACAGCGAGCTGATCAGATGCACAGCAAAAATTCAGACTCATTGCCGTACAGTCCGATTTAACTCACAACTGACCCCCAGTGGGTTTCCAAAGGCTGTGAGTCACAGGGGAGGGGATGGCCCGTATTTCTCCCTCAGAGCTGATGCTGGATTTGAACCAGCCTCTGAGGGTAGCTGCCTTTTTGGGTTTCTCCCTGTGGACTGTGCCTGCTGAGCTCCTGGGGGCACAGTGATGGGGTGAAGTTTGAGGTGGACACACGTGAATGTAACCGAGCAAACCAGGAGCTGGGAGAAAGTCAGCGAATAGCCAAGAGGACTGAGGAGGACTCACTCAGAGTCGGTGTTGGATGGGCAGCTTGTTCACTGGGTTTATGTCAGGAGGTGTAAGGAAGTAAGGCCAGAAAGGAAAAGTGCTCTGACGTTCAGGGATTAAATGCTGGTCTCACTGAAAGGTCGGCGGTTTGAACATGCCTGCAGCTTCAAAGGAGGAAAGACCTGGTAATCGACCCCTGTAGATTCCAGCCTAGGAAATACCATGGGGCCCGTTCTGCTTCACCAGACAAGGTGGCTGTGAGTCAGAATCGACTGGATAGCCCGCCGCTGCAGCCTTGCTGGGTCCTCTAGTTTGTCTGTTTACATTCACTGCTAGACTACAAGCCTGGTACACAGTAAGTACTCAATAAAGGTCCAAGTACACTTGTCGTCTCTGTTGTTAGGAGCTGAGTTGGTGGTTCCAGGCCACAGTCACGGTATGTACAGAAGAACAAAGCTCTGCTCAGTCCTGCGTCACCTTTACAGTCATTTCTGTGTGTGAGTCCACTGGTGGAGCCACTGTGCCAGGCCATCCCATTGAGGGGCTTCCCCTTTTTGCTGATAGTCCACTTTATCGAGCAGAATGTCCTCCTTCAGAGACTGGTCCCCTTGACAGCGTGTCCAAAGTACATGGGATGAAGTCTCACCATCCTTGCTTCAAAGGAGCACTCTGGATATACTTCTTCCAAAATGAATTTGTTTGTTCTTCTGGCAGTTCATGGTGTATGTATATATATTTGTATGACATACGGCTACATTCCCCTCTCCCCACAGAGTGGTTCTCTGTTTCCAACATTTGTATTCCAGTCACCATTATTATCAGTGCATCTTGATTGCATGCATGTTCAATCGATCTCTGACTGTAAAAGTTGGTAGAAATCTTCTATTTCCTCTTCTTTGGCTCTGGTTGTTGGTGCATATATCTGAATGAACAAACAGATTCATCCTGGAGAGGGTTAAACCGGGCTGCTCCTTGGAGGCAAGGATTCTAAGGGCTTCATCTGACATACTTTGGACATGTTGTAAGGAGGGACCGGTCCTTGGAGAAGGACATCATGCTGGGTAGAGTAGAGGGACAGCACAGGAGGGGAAGACCCTCTATGAGGTGAATTGATTTAGTGGCTGGGGTAATCGGAATGGGTGTGTTGGAGACAGTGCGATTGGCACAGGATAGAGCAGGGTTTAGGGTTGTTATACATAGGGTTGCTATAAGTTGAAAGCGACTTGACGACACATAACAACAACAATAAGGTAGTTAGTGAGTTTGAATCACTGACCTTCCAGTTAGCTGCTTAAGGATTTGTGACCCTGGGGCTCCTTGTCCAAGTTCAGTTAGCTATGGTTGAACTTGCAGGCCCTGAAGCCAGACTGCCCGGCTTATAGTCCCGGCTCCATCACCACTGTTCTTGGCCTCTGCCTCTATTTTTACCTGATGCAGTGAGACCATGCTTCACTCCCTGGGACAGTGTTTGGCATGTTTATCCCTTATTGATAATAGCAGTGGTATCCCTTATTAGTTGTTCCTGTTCCTTGATTAACTACATAGATTGGAGCCAGATTTGAGAAGGTCTTGACATTTCTATGTGGAGGAGTTTCCTTTATTCAGCAAATAATTGTTGATAAGCACCTTTAGACTCTAAATAAAGTATGTAGAAAAGAAACCCTGATTGTTTTCAGGAATGGGGTAGTTTCTGAAGAGATGCAAAGGGACAGGAGACAGAGAGGCCGCACCCTCTGAGCACGTAGGTACTCTGGGTCCCAGTTTCTATAGGTTGTGCGTTTTGGAGATGTCAGGAAATTAGAACAGCACATGATTTCAGGGGCCTCGGCGATCTGCACCCTCTATGTGCATTTATTCAGTCATCCCCCACCAATTCTTCTGTTGAGTCAGCTCTAATGATGACATCACCCAGTGGGTGTCCCAACAGAACTAGACTCCGTACAGCGTCCAGCGGTTGGTTTTGTGGGCATAAATCTCCAGGCTTTTCTTCGGAGTGGATTCAAATCTCTGACCTTTCGGTGGTTGTTGTCGTTGTTGTTGTTGTTGTTGTTATGTGCCGTCGAGTCACTTGCAACTCATAGCGACCCTATGTACAACAGCCCTAAACTCTGCTCTGTCCTGTGCCAACCACACTGCCTCTAACACACCCATCCCGATTACCCCAGTCACTGAATCAATCCATCTCATAGAGGGTCTTCCCCTCCTGTGCCGTCCCTCCACCCTCCCAAGCATGATGTCCCTCTCCAAGGACCGGTCTCTCCTCACATGTCCAAAGTATGTCAGACGGAGCCTCAGAATCCTTGCCTCCAAGGAGCCACCCGGTTTAACCCTTTCCAGGACGAATCTCTTTGTTTTCCTGGCAGTCCATGATACTCTCAATACTCTTCTCTAGCACCACAGCTCAAAGGCATCAATTCTCCTTCTATCCTCCTTAGTCATTGTCCAACTCTCTGATGCATACCAAGTGATAGCAAAGACCATGGCCTGTATCAGACACACCCTAGTCTCCAGAGAGACACCATTGCTCTTCAGTACTTTGGAGAGGTCCCTAACAGCAGACTTTCCCATGGCAATGTGCCTTTTAATTTCCTGGCTACTGGTGCCAAGAATGTTGACTGTGGAGCCAAGCAAACTGAAGTTGTGAACAATCTCAATCTCTTCACCATCCATCCTGATGCTGCCAATTGGTCCAGTGGTGAGAATCTTTGTCTTCTTGACATTGAGCCTCAATCCATATTGGAGGCTGCAGTCCTTGACCCTCTTCAGCAGGTGCTTCAGGTCCTCCTCAGTTTCAGCAAGCAGGGTAGTGTCATCTGCATAACGCAGATTGTTGATAAATCGTCCACCAATCTTGAGCCCACATTTCTCCTCATAGAGCCCAGCCTCCCAGATAATCTGTTCTGCATATAGGTTGAAAAGGTATGGAGATAAGATGCATCCCTGGTGTACACCCTTCCCAATTTGGTTAGCCTTTAATAATTAGCAACACCCAGGAACTCCTCGGCCATCCACTAAGTGTTTATGGAGGACTGATGGTGTACTAGATGTTCATTTAGGCACTCAGGAGACAGCAAAAAATGAGGTAGACAGGGCCCCATCCTGCCTCAGAGCCTGGTTGTAGGGGGTGGGGGGATCACCTAGTCTATCAACTATTTGGAAAAAGGCTGTGAAGGGAGTTGTTGAATCTTAACCAACTTATCACAGACCCTCCAGCGGGTTTTCAGAGGCAGTAAATGGCACCAGAGAAGACTGCCCATCCTTCTCCCTCAGAGCAGTTGAGGTGGATTTGAATTTGAGATTGCAGTCCAGCTTTTTACCACTAAGACACGAGAGTTCCCTGTGAAGGAAGTACAGCAGTCATGTATCAGAAAGGAAAAAATCAGAGAGAAGTCCAGGATTTTCCTCTCTGCAAGGACTTTGAGGTGGGACCCAGAGGAGCCAGCCATGTACCCCAAACCACTCACTCCCTCAGCTAGGTAAGGTGGCCACATTCACTTCGAGACAAGGCCACCTTACGCAGTCAACGTCAGTAACAACCTGTCCATGTATGTTGTTGTTAATTAAGTGCTGTCCAGTCAACTCATAGTGACCCGATGAACAAAAGATCTGACCCCTGTTCTATCCTGCACCATCCTCACACTTCCTGACACACAAGGGCACATTGCAGCAATCGCCACGTCAGTCCACCTGGTTGAGGGTCTTCCTCTCCTTGGCAATCCTCCACCCTTCGCAGCATCATGTCCTTCTCCAAGTCATAGACCCCTCCTAGTAACTTGCCCAAATAAATCCATGTATAGTCTTTGGCCTCATAAACTGGTCAGTCCCACCTCTGGAAATAAGTCCCTCCTCACCAGTTGTTGTTATGTCCCTTCAAATCGAAGCTGACTCATAGCTGACCCTCCAGTAGGTTTTCAGAGGCATTTAATAGCACAGGAGGAGATAACCCAACTTTCTCCCATGAGGCAGCTGGTGGATTTGAACCACATGGCTTTGGGGTTACAGCACAGCTTCTTACCACTAGGCCTCCAGAGAACTTTCATCACTAGTAGAGGACCAGAATAGGGTGTTGCATCCATCTTCTGGAACATGCTTACCAAATTTACACCAATGGTCTGGCTTGGTCTCATTGCCATGACAGTACATATTCCTAGAACCCACCACCCCTTCTTCTCTATCTCTAATTCAGGAGGAGTAGTCCATTCTGTGAGACCCCCAAAGAAATCAAGGCTGGATGGCTCTGATGGGGGGCCCCCGGGGCCTGAGTTAGACCATTTGTCTCTCCCTGAAGACTCGGAAGACAAGATTGGATCCACTGTACAGAGTGGGGAGGAACCAAGACCGGCAGCTCCCAGGTATGTGACTCAGAACATTTTAGTAAGCAGGAATGGGGGAGACCAACGTGACTCTTGCAATGCTACCTCCCCTGATGTCTCAGGGCCCCTCAGATAGTATTTACAGAAGCTTTCCTCCCAGGATACTCCCCTGTCTAACCAGAAGGTCAGTATTTTAATCTTATGCGAGGAAAACAAGTTATTCAAGGTCACTTTGTTAAAGAATGTAAACTGATGTCTCATCTGCTGGTCAAATCCCTTGCTTCACATTCCTCTCCTCCTTAATCAAGAAGAGTCTGAGGCCTAGAAACAGTATGTGGAGTGAAATAAATCAGTGACACAAGGTCGTCTGTGAAATGATCCCACCTACACCAAGTAGGTGAGTGTGTAGAGACCAAAGCCCTTAGTTGTTACTGGGAGTAGAAGTAAAGGAGAAGTAGAGGGTTTGCTCAGGGAACACCAAATTTCTCTTAATGATGGGGAAATAATTTAGAAAGAAATAGTGCCATGGTTGTACAACATGATGAACATAATGTTACTGGAATGTAAATGTAGTGCTAAATTAGCAAATGTCTTCTTAAATATGTATTATTTTACCACAAATGTATTTTAAAAGATAACGTATGTGCCAGCCAGTGTGATAATTGCATATAACACTTTACATACATAGTTCATTTTTCCTTCCTGGCGTGGTGCCGTCTCAGTTTTTATCTCCAGTTCACAGATGAAGCCCTGAGGTTATGGGTAAGTAAGGTGCCCAACCTCCCTGCCCTGTGCCATGGGGCCCGGGCTGGCAGTCGAACCTCAGTGCATCCACATCCAGCTCTTGTGCTCCTTGTTGTTTCCTGGTGGTTTTACTCTTTCAGCAAATAGATAACTAAACATGGTGATAAAAGAGGCTTCACAAGCAGTTTAACCTCTCAGGGGATTAAAATCTGTGGAACTATTGCAAGTAGAGTTAATGGAAATTAGAGAAGAAAGGTTCCTTAGACTGAAACATCATGGACTGAATGACTAAATTTTCTGAAAAACATAATGGGAATTTTCTGAAAAACATAATGGGCTAGAACTTTTTTTTCCTGGTTCATCTCTGTCTGTCTGACTTTGGGTCATTGCTGTCTTGGAACTAAAGGCTGGATCAGGTGGCCTGAAATAGTGACCCACGGAGGCCCAGGCCGGCCTATTGGAAGTGATGTGAGGAGATCACTTATCACAGATGCCTCACAGACCTCATCCCCTTAGACAGACAGATAAAGACAAGATGCTGCCCTGTCTCTGGCCACTCCCAATAGAAGTTCTAGAGAGGCTTCAGAAAGGCGGGCCAGAGGGAGCTGTCCTGTCCATGAAAAAGGTGGATGCTGGGTGTGCTCACCTTTTTAATTTCTTTGATTTTAAATGTGTTTTTTAAAGTGTTACTATAAAATATCACCATGTATAATCATAACACAGAAGAACATAACAGAGCAAAGGTTCACATATTTTTAAAGAAATGAAATGCTGCCGGTATTCCCCTCACCCCACAAAAACCACCCACTGTGACCATTCTCAGTTGTTCTTAAACTTTCTCACAGACATCTTCCTATCAATGTCAAGACTCTCTCTGTTTCTGTAGCTCCTCTGGAACAATCAAAGTCCAATTGCTTGTTTTCACACCTTAGGACTTTTCTCACCCCAGGGCCAAAGTTGAAATCACCTGATCTGTTTTGACAGTGTGTGTTAATGATTTTTGTATTGGATACTTTCCCATAGATTACAGTTGATAATGATCCTATAGAACAAAATAGAACTAACTGCCCAACAGGACTTCCTAGGCTGCAGTCTTTGTATGAGAGCAGATCGCCAGGTCTTTTCTCCTAGAGAGCTGTGTTGCTGTGTTAAGTGCCGTTGAGTCTTGTATGACTCATAGTGACCCTATGAACAACAGATCTGAACCCTATTCTATCCTGTACCAATCTCACAATCTCTGATGCACTTGAACCCATTGCTGCAGTCACTGTGTCAGTCCACCTGCTTGGGGGTCTTCCTCTCCTTTGCCATCCCCTCACCTTTCCAAGCATGATATTCTTCTCCAAGGAATAGCCTCTCCTAGCAACATGCCCAGAGTATGTGAGAATACGTGTCATCATTTTTGCCTCCAAGGAGCACTCTCTCTCCACCTTCTCCAAGACTTATCTGTTTGTTCTTTTGGCAGTCTGTGGATAGTCAGTACTCTTCTCCAGCACCACAGAGCAAAGGCATCAATTCTTCTTTTGTTGTCCAGTTCTCAGCAGCATAGCAAGTGACTGGAAAGACCATGTCCTCAATCAGGGACACCTTATCCTCAAACTGACATCATTCCTCCTCAGTAATTTGGAGAAGTTCCTGACTGCAGACTTTCCCAGTGTTATATGTCTTCTAACTGTTGGTACTAAGTTTACCAAGTAGGATGAAGTCTTTGACAATTCATTCTTTTCTCCATTTATCGTATTGCCTATTGGTCCAACGGTGACAATTTTTGTTTTCTTGACATTGAGATGCTAGCCGTATTGAAGGCTGCGGTCTTTGCTCTTCTGCAGCAAGTGTTTCCAGTCGTCATCACTTTGAGTAATCAAGGTTGTTTCATCTGCATAAAAAGCTATTGTTGTTGTTAAGTGCCATCAAGTCACAGGTGACTCATAGTGACCCTATGAAGGAGAGTCCTCGATGCTTGGGTGTCTCTCATCCTCTCTCCAGGTTCATAGGGTTTCTGGAGGCAAGCTGTTACGGAAGTGGATGCCACTCCTCCTTCCAAGCTTGTTTTAATCGGGGAGCTCCACCCCACTCTCTAAAAAGCTATTAGTAGATTCAAATCACCAACCTGTGAAAACCCTATGGGGTGGTGAGAAAGAAGATAACTGTTAGATGGTGGTTGCTGTTACGATGTGCCATCAGGTCGCTTGCAACTCGTAGTGACTCTGTGTACAATAGCCCTGAAACCTGCTCTATCCTTTACCACTTTCTGTCTCTGACACTCCTACCCTCATTTCCCCAGTCCCTGAATCAATCCACTTCATCCAGGGTCTTCCTTAGGATAGAAAGATAACTGTTGCTGCTATTATCATGAACCCCCTCCAATACCTTCAGGAGCAGATTTTTCTATTTTGATAGATATCCCTAACAACAACAAAATGTCTGACAACTTTCTCTCAAACACAAAGTATATTTTATAAATTTCCTGAAGTAACTGATAGGAAAACCTCAACTATACTGGTGACCTCAGTGTGTTTTTAGAGTGCTAAAGATTTCAATGAAAGACCTTTGTTTCCCTCTTAATGAATCTATGGCCTCATGCTTTTGAATTTTAATAAAGTAAAAGATACTACATCAGATAGTATCTTTTGCGTAGAATAAAGTCACACAGGGACCCAAATTACGTGTTCGAGGTGATTGGTCTCCGTGGTAGTGGTTGTCGTCCTCGTCTTCAGGTGTTTCAGTGTTGATCGTAGCTGTCAGGAAGGCCTGAATAAAAAGATCATGGCTTTTATGGCTTGTTTTCTGTTGTAAACACTTGGCCCAGCCTTGCTACTTCATATAAATGTCACAGTGTACCCATATCTAGATTTTTTTTTTTAGTAATACTTGCTATTTTGTTTTCTTAAGTTTATTTTCTTCCTTTAATCTCTGAATTCTTCCCTCCTTCCTTTCCAGTCCCCTCTCCTTGTCCCCTGATAACCACTGTTTTCTTCCCCCCCCACATGATTATTTGCATTGATTTTATTTTTATTACTGTCTAGTTCTGTTTTAAGTTCTTGATCTAAATCATAGAGGTGATATTTGTTGTTGGGTTTTGATGGTAGTTGTTTCTTTTTTCTTGTTCTCTATAACATAGGATTCCTTCATTGCTTCAAAATGAAACTCAGAAACAAATTCCTGGGATAGAGCCATTTCTTTTCTTTCTTTGTTGAATTGTCATTTCATTGAAAGTTTACAGAGAAAATTGATTTTCCATTTCAACCATCCATATGCATTTTGTTTTATGATATTAATAGTAATACCCACATTGTAATAGTACTCTTCCCATTTACTTGCTGTGCTTCTCATTCACAGTAACCCATCTGTCCTACTCCCTCTTGCCTCCTGTCTTTACTCCTAGGCATATGCTGCCCTTTTGATCGTGTATAGTTGATATATATGTTTCTAAGGAGTGAGTACATCGCTGTGGGTTTTGTTCCCCTTAGAGGCTTGTTCTTTGGGTAGACCTTAAATCACAGGAGGAAGCTTAGTTCTAGGTTCAAAGGATAACTAAGAACCATAATCTTGAAGGTTCTGCCAGTCTCTATCCAGCAGTAAGCCTGGCCATATTATGGGTTTTGTTAGGCTAAACAGTAGCAGTTCCATTTTACTGGACTTGTACCTGACTCACTCTGCCTCTGAGATGAGCAAGCCTCCCCTCCCTCCAAGACAGGCAAGCCTTCCAGACTAAGATAGAAGGAAGCCCAGAAAAACTAAGATAACAGGACACCTGGAGGTGCATAATATCTCAGAACAAAAAAGTTCCAAGATGAATCTGCTGAACCAGAATGGGCTGATGCTTCATTGAAAGCCTAAGCGCAGCTGCACCAAGGCAAATATTAAATAAAAACCTATTTGCTAAACACTCGGCTAGTGTTGCTTCTGGACTTTATAGTGAACCTTTCAGTTTTGCATTTTGTTCATTTCCAGCCCACTCTGTCTGGGATCTTCTACTGTGATCCTTTTTTCGAGCCCTTTTATACATGTGCCTCAGAGTTGTATCCTTTCACCATATAATCCAAGATATATATGAAGGAGAATGCGACATCAAATTCAGAAGAAGACTGTTCCTCATCAACCTCCAGTATACAGATGACATAGCCTTGCTTTCTTAAAGTGAAGATGACTTGAAATACTTACTGAAGATCAAAGCCCTTTAGTGTAGATTACACATAATAAGAAGTAACAATAAATGGCATCATGAAGTTGTTGGACAACTGGGTGGGGTGCAGGCCGTAATTCACAGGACTGAGAACTTTGTAATACTGGCC